CTAACGAAATTATAGTGTTGACGAAGTGGCAAAAGATAAATAAAGTGATGTTTATTATCAAAAAAGGGAGAAAACTTTGATAAATCGGGCGATACTTTCTGTGGGTACTGTACATTTGTCATTCAAAAAAATATGCCTCAAAAACTCGTGCTTATTTTGGGGCAAATACGGTATATAAAGTGGTCAAAATTACCTAACTTTGAATTGCCAAAAACTAATTTATAGAAATCCAGTGATCCGATTCGAAAATACTACCATTCGACTTGTCTAGTCGAGATAAATCAAATCGTAGTATTTTCGCTCACTGGTCGTCGAGATATTGCATCCTAAATTGACGATTCATTGTATATTTGACGAGTATGATACCGGTCTATAAAAGACATAGATGATCAGTGTTTATAATGTTAGTTTGTGTTTAGAAAATTTCTTAACATTTCTTAGCAATATACGTGAATTTTGGAAAGTTATGGGATCAGTTACTTATGAAATTGACTGTAGTATAAAGTCATCGTCTCAAATTTGGCCACTTGAAAATCTTTTTGCTGGAACTAAGTTGTATGCATGGTAGTCAATTCTTTTTTTTTGGGCAAGGAAAACTCGATAAATTGAACTTTAATAATTCGAAGCACTAATTAAACTTGGATAAAGCAAAGTTGGTCATAGGAGAGTTATGATAAGCCCATCTCGATTTACCGTGTATACTATAGTTGGGACGACTAAATTATTTCATAGTTTAAGCCTCGGAACTATAACCTAAACTATCAATACGTGGTTTTGGCGCCAATTCTAATATAAACCGAAATTTTAACCAAGTGTTCGGTGAACAACACATGTTCAATTACGCCGATTGACATTAAATTAAAGGTGATGTGATATTCATTAACAATATTTATTTAATCAGCAATGAAATCAGTAAAATTCTTATCGGGATTACAGTCGAATCACATGATCATCCGTTATCGAATATTAAAAAAGGTTAATCATTATCGTATAACAAGAAAAAGTAATAAAGCATTTCCCACATAATAAATAAAATGATATATGTTTATAAAGAAGAAATCGTAATCAACCTCATAATCATCACTACTCTCATCTCACCATCACTATATTATTCCATTATTACCATTATCATCGATCAAACATCAAATATTTGTCTCTCGAAATTCACCTTGCTTTCTCTCTTCACCCGCGTGAATATATCCACATCGCATTATTATATCGTCAGCCACAATCAACAGCATAGAGCCAAGCAAGGTTTTTATCCTTCTTTGTTTAACTTATTACTTGTATTAAAAAGTTTTAAGATTCGTTGATGAGAGCGACAATCATACTATTTGAAATAAAATGTAAACACAAAGAGTAAGCAAAAATGATTAGTCCACGATAAAAATAATCTCAAAGAAATTCACGCCATAATTGTTCTCTCTTTCTCATTCACGACTCTTTGTCAGAAACATCAACGTTGAGCGAATAGAAAAATAAAATACCTGTACAAATAAAAGAAGAAACTAAACAAATAGAATCCAAGCTTTAAAAAACATTCTTTTTTGTGTTGTCCTAGCGTTCTGAAAATTTCAGTAGCATCATACATGTGTCGCTTGTTCGTTACTCTAATATGTAAAAAATAGAATGTGAGTGAAGGAATATGTTATGATTTGGAGACGAACAAACTAAAGCATATTTAGCTCAATATTAAAGAACCTCCAAGATCACTCACTTTTGAACATTGTACGCCACCAATGGAAGATTAATCAATGCGGCAAGCCAGCTTCCATTTAACAAGAACATGAAAAACAGGACCCCATGGAAAATCATCTCTGGCAATACGAACTATGATAACACGTCAGTAAAAAAAATATACGTTAAAATACGATTTCCGAATGGAGGATGAATTGCGTGCGTATGCTGACAATATTTTTTTGACAATAATATCAAATGTAACTGATATTCTTCCTTAGTCAAAATTAAAATATTGCGCTATACTTGCAAATCCTCGTAAGAAAAGAATAAAGAAAAATATATATTTTACCCCATTTAGCTTATTACAAAGATCGATCGGATTTATGTAATCACATTCTAGATCGGAAAACATTATTGTCTGGATACATCATAAATGGAGTTAAGTCAAATAATATACGCAAAAGATCAAATTTAAACTGAAATTAGCAATTTTTCGTATAATAAACATGTCACTTAAAATACGATGGTCTTAGCCAATATTTGTTTATTACTCGTTCTCTTATCCTCCCTCATAAAGGAAAAAAAGGATACAAAAAACACCATCACAAATAAAAGTACCGCGGCCGCTATGGTACCGAACAGAAATAAAAACGCATCTCCCGGCATACTGTATCGTTTCTTTTCTTTTAAGAGTAATTTGGCCTATTTCGTATCTTTGTTCCTCAAGAGATTAGCAAGTAGAAAGACGGTATGTCAGTATATCCCCCCAACGGAAAAATTTAACCAAATTTAATGTAGTGACGACATTATCTAATGATCATCTACTAAATCTGGAAAGTGTTATGTATCGGCAGTGAGTTCATTAAATATTGATATCGAGCAATACGTAAAGTCGTGGCGGATATACTACAACCGGAATCATATCCAGGCTTTAATTAATTAGTTGCCTTTGCGTATATATTCGTCGTCCGGTCATGTTCATCCTTATTGACCACCACTTACTATTATAATTTGTTCCGCTAAGATCATTATCAGGTTCGTATTCTACTATCTATTATCTTCATAATCTATAGATTGTGTATCAACGTCAATCTGTCGCTTGTTCTGATTGATTTCTCTGTGTTCCATTTATGCAGTATCGTCTCCAAAATATATCTGCCGAGGGACGCCAGATCTCTGACTTAAGGGAGTTACAAATATTATCTAATATATAAAGATGGGAGGGAAATTGAAAAAATTAAGCCATGATCTCAGGAGGAGAAGACCTCTGTCTAAACATATATTAAGTAATAAGTGTGAATGATGTGTTAATTGAATCTCGCACAGAGTATCGTGCCGAGTAGAAAATCTTTAGACGGACGCTAAGCTACAAAGTTGTGTTTTTCTTGAAGCATCCTAATAATTCGAAATGGAAGAAAATTTTCCAAGGAAAAAAGACATACAAAATAGAAAATAATGCTTGCCATGTATATGATTGCTACGATTAGATGGTGACTCTTATTTTATATATATATATATATATTTATTAATTATCATTATGGTTTTCTATATGACCATTCATATTAATAAAATGGGCTTACAGACATGGATAATTAATACAGTTAATAATTTATTCATCATCATAATCGGTGATCAAAAATATTTTTATTTTAGTTATGACCATATTTAACGGGAAATTTAGATCATACTTCAGTTTGTGTATTAGATTTATACAAAACTCGATCCTTTTATCCTTATTTACCGGTTTGTTTGTCAAAATTGAAAATTAAAACATTTAACCGAGAAAAGTCTCTAGTTATTTTCTATAAATTAAGATATTTGGGTGGTCTTCTTCCAGTTTCGTCCAAATACAAATTAGGGGTAGGTTTTGGTCCATAGATCGGTTCACGAATACCTAACAAGAAATAAAAATAAAAAAAGAAATAAATCCAAAACCCATCATCTGAATCTATCGATGACAAATTATACGTACGTAACACATCCCGATAAATCTTACTGACATTCTCATCCCATTCCCCACGAAAAAAGGAGGCACCACATAGCTCGAGCCTATATTCTTGCATAAACTCACGAACATTCATCCATCGATGAGGCTGCTTTATTTCAAGCTCATGATCGTTTGGTTGGTGTAATACCCCGATCGTGTATCGATGGTATGGCGTGCCTTTTGGTGGATGCGGAGGGATGTAGTCGAGGAGAGTAGTACCCCCGGAAATTGTATGCTTTGTGGCACTTAGTGGAATGTTTGTGCTTAAGGTGCAAATTTTAATTATTAATATTTTGATAGAATTTTTAAGTGGTGATATGTTATTTATTTTATACTATCCTTGTGTATAAATAGAACTTACATTAACCAATGCCATTGTGTCTTGAAACTTTTTCTTTCTACATCGGGCATATCTTTTTATTTTTTTTAATAAGTATTTAAAGTATTCGAAATTTATTAATACAAATCCAAAAGAAATTCAGTATTCCCGAATGAAAGAAATCAAAAAATCTACCTGGATCAACCATGAATAGAGTATATAACCGTGTATCTTGATGGAAACTGGTTAATGTCAATTCAGGCTGACGCTCTGTCTTATATCGAAATAACAATAAATAAGCTGTCTTACGATTTTATTATTATTATGCTTAATGTTAATAATTAATATATCCTTAGTACTTACTGTTGTAGATTTTTGCCATACACCCGGTTCAATGGGCGATAAGAAACTGATCCGAAGGTCGATAGTAGGATCAAGCGTCGGAAACACGTCAGGTATTACATACATTTGTGTTATTCGTTCCATCTAATCAAAAGAATAAAGTTATTATTTCGATCACCTTTTAAATAGCAACTTGCACATATAAAAACCAAAAACTCAATTTGAATATAAAATCTAAAGCTACCAATTTTGGAAGTGCTTTCTTTCTCCATTCCCGTTCACGTAGATGACAGTAGACAGGCACTGACATATCATCTGTTAGATTGTAATTATATTAAACATAAAAGATGTCCATATCAAAAACAGTAAAATTGTTTTCTTCATAAAATCATCGATCAAAAATAAATAACTCACAATGTCCATTACGAAAATTCCAGCGAACTTTTGGGTCATTTATTTCCGAATCAATTTGAAGCCTATATTTCCGTTTTTTTAATTTCTGTATAGAATAATCAGAAGAAGGGTTTGTTTCCTCTACAAAAATCAACAAACAACTGGTTGGCAACATTACTCAAATCTAATTCAATCGGATCGAGATTAATTCGATCCGATATAATTCAAGTCCGAATCAGATACCTTTCGATATAAGATCTTCAAGTCTTGCAATTTTTCGTTTCTTCTCCTCCTGATCTTGTTTGATATATTTCAAAGCTTCGTCGTACGCTGCAAGAACACCTAATTTTGGGGGATCATATATATCGCTTTTTTTTGACTTTTTCGGAACCTGTACTTTCGATGACGTTATAATCGGACCAGGAGTGGTTTTGACGGTGGCGTCTTTCTTTGCGGTTGTGGTTATATATGTACGGCCGGTTAAACACTTTATCTTATTTGATCAATAAAAACTTTAAGGTCTTTTGATTCTTTCAATGAAAATTTCAAGTTTCAAGAGTATACTTACTGTTGTGTATTTTGAATTATTTAATTTTATTAAGCTTCCGGATCTATGATAACAAATAAGCCTAAAAGTTACTTGTACACTTTGCATATCGAGTGAATTTCAAAAAAAATCAAATTCTCGATCTGGATTCTTGAATCAAAATTTCAACCAACATAGTCATGTGATCGAGCAAAAAATTCCGGAATCTGCGCAAGGCGATATAGTCTGTGCTCGGTTCCTGATCACATGATAACAAAGCAATAAGAATGCGCAAATTATATGTGCAGGCAACTATTAAAGATTGATTTCAGAGTTAGCGTTAGAGCTAGAGCTATGAAATTGCCTCACCGACATTTTTTATTAGAGCCTCAAGTCAGATTTTGACGTCTGTTTTCACATTTTTTATTATGGAAATCCCTATTCGCACACGGTTCCTGATCACATGCACTTTATAGACCAATAAGGATGCGCGAATTTTTGATCAACAAATCCGGAAAACAGGCGCTGTTAAAAAATCTCGGAAAACCATTTCTTTTTCGGTTTTAACCTTAACCCTAACATAATGATAAATCGCCTTTTAATAGTTGTCGGCTCACATATGATTTGCGGGATTCTTATTGGTTGATTATCATGTGACCAGGAACTGTAATGAATTTTCATTACGTCCGATTAGAGCAGGATAAAGGTAAGAAGGTGAGGAGATAAGATTATGTAAAAAAATTTGTGCACTCAATAAAACTAGTCCTTCGATTATATCACATATGGCCCTCCCATAAATGGTAAAAATCGATTTGAATTTTTCGTTTTTTTCACATTTCAGATTTTCATTTTTTATTTCGGACTTATTTTGCCGGATTGATCAAAAATTTATACATTCTTATTGGTTGCTGGGAAAAATCCCGCATATACCTGAGTGAATTATTGTCGGTTCGAAAAAAATCCATTTTATCGCGAGTTTATTAGTAAATTCGGTATATCGAGGTTTTAATTATATCGAAAGTTCGAGTCACTGTGTATATTATCTACTATAATTGATATGTGATATAATCGAAGTAGCGGTTGGATTTGTGATTTGCATGTGCTCAAGAATCAAGCAAGATACCTGCCGCAACTCTGGCCGAGGATTGCAACCTTAATTGCTATAAAAAATGAGGGTAGTAATTCAATTACGGCCACTTTTTTAATTTCATTAGAGTTCGATCAGGTTTTTGTTACGGCAACCAAGCCAATAAATTTTTGACTAACACAAAAATCAAGTCTGACATATTTAAAAAAAGATGTCATGTTTTTTGTTAGAATTTCCGGTAGAAAACGGCGGATTTGGGGAGAAGCGAGCGCCTCTTTGGATGCATTCTTTTTAAAGGGGTTTTGGAGGAGAAGATTGGCGGATTTGAGCTGCTTGATCATTGATTCGTAAATATTGTTCTAATTGGTGAAGTTCTGATTGTTTGGTTAAAAGAGTTTGGAGTTCTTCTTTGGTTAAACTGGTCTCGAGAATGTTTTGGTAAGCTTCCATATTGCCATTTAATTTATCTCTTTGAGAAGCTTCGGTAGCCTGCATGATTTGTTTTTGGGTTTCTAGGAGTAAGTCAACTATGGGAGCAAAACCTCCTTTTCCAGCTTTATTTTTCGCTTCGGTAATTAATTGTATCAATCTCGTACTTTCATTTCTGACTTGGGGTGCTAACTCTTGGTATTTGAGACGAGCGATTTCTTGTTTAAGTTGAGTGAAATTATAAGGCTGGTTGGGGAGAATTAAGGTAAACAATTCATATTCTGTTGCTCCAAATTTTCTACTTTGGCTAATTGTTTTTTGTAGATATCATTCATCAAATCCTTAGAATTATATCTGTAATGGTCCTCCAAATCGGCTTGTTCTTTTATAGCCTAATAAAATTCTCTCCATTAAGTAGTCTACTTCGTGCCTTTTGTCATTACTTGCCGTAAGATTTCTTAGTATATTGTTTAGCTCATATTTTTCCTACCATATTCTTTCCATACCAATGCACATGAGCTAATACTTCTACTTGGTAAACAAATGGTAATTGTTCGAATTTTGTTGTTATTTCGGAAATGAATACATTTCCGGCATTCATTTAGCGTTAGAACATACTGTACATGTACTACACTTCAAATGAGATAATACGCAGTGCGTGCCATTATGTTTTTATTTGTGAAACAGACATTCATACGTGTTTGCTCTGCCACACTTTAATATAATAGGGGTTTTTTTATCAATAAGTTGTCAATTTTGTTTCGTCTTCTCCATTCGCAATTCAACCAACAAACAGCACCTTTTTATCTTACTGCAAAAGTAAACTTTTTTACCCAAATACTAACCAAGAAAAAGGACAAACAGTCTTTAGACAATACAAACGCAAATAAATCAAAAATTTGAAAAAATGCCTTTGACTACTGCTAACACCACCTTCACTACTCTTAACTCTACAACTACCAACACTGCTAACACTGCTACCACTATTAACACTACTACCACCAAGACTAACATGAATTTGTCCCGTTCCTTGCGGGATTGTTTCTCTCCGTTGTCCTGTACAAACTGCGCCATGGGGTCAGGTTTTGTCCAGTCGCGCTTTGTCGGTGTCCACAATGGCGGAACAACAGAGAGAGTTTATTGTGGAGGAGTGGGAGAACAACAGTATCAGCAGGACATTATTTGTGAGCAAAGAACAGAACAGCAGCAGTATCCTAGTTACAGCACCCCGTTCACGTCAAGTTCTCCGTTGTCCTGGTCTGGAGCAGGAGAAGAAGCTGCTTCGCGCTTTGCCACTTCGTCATCTACCTTTAATCCCCACCTTCACTCGCGTTCCATACGAAAGCCGTGGGAAAAACCACGGTCATTTAATTGTGCCCTTTAAAGATGTGACGATGCACACTACTTCATTAAATCTATTAAGATTATCAGTTGGTTTGACGGAGAAAAATACGAGTGCTTTTTTGAAGATTAATGTGAATACTCATGGTCGACAATTTGGAGAGTTGAAGTTGTGTCAGAATTCGAGAAAGATGTTGAATTTACCAAATGCTGGCGGTGCGAGTATGCTATCCGAAGTTTTTTCTTATGAGATTATGGAGAGGATTTTAGGCGTAGAACTGCTCAAGACCGAGGTAAACATGCTTTTTGATGTTTATGAAATTTCTAATTATTAACATCAATTTAATTATCAATATATCGACAGATGGAAGTACGTTATAGTTTTATGAATCAGCCAATGACCGATTATCTAGTAAATCTAAGACACCCACATTACACCAATCCGCTCACTATTGGCGTATCGGTAACGCGAGCGTATGCGCACGACCGGCGATACACAAACGATGATGCTCATCGACTTCTCACGAAAAAATTGGCCGGCGTCAATTTATCCACCAAAAACATTAATAACGCTCGCATCTGGAAACAAATTCTTCATATATGGTGTCCGAATGGTCAAACTGCCAACGTGGTAAAACGAGTCTACATGAAAATGCCACAGGAGTACAAATCTAATACGGTGGTAGTGGTGTCAGTGGTCGACTCGAAATGGGTATTTACTAATAATAAAGTTGTATATCCCCCAAGGAAGAAGGACTTGCCAAAGAAGAGGAGGAAAAAGCGTGTGAAATGAGTAGTGTGTTGTCTGTCTTTTTAGTCATGATTTATTGATAATTTTAGAATGTAAACAATAGTTTTTTAATTTTATTCGAGGTTAGCCAAAATTTACCAAAAGAAATAAATAACGATAGCCAAAATTTAAATTTAAAAATACCGATATTATTGAGAATTCTCGTTAGTAAAATGTGGAACAAATATCGAGTTATTACGTTAATTTCGTTTCTGGTCGTTAGTATTCAAATAAATAGTTTGTCAAGGGTCGCATTACATCTCTTTAAAACTGCAGCGAAATCTAAAATACACAGCACTTGAATAATGCGCAAGCTTTGTCAAAGGTATTTAAAAATTCATTTGACGGTGATTGGTATTGTATTTTGACCTGGAGTATTACTAGTATTCGTTGACGTTTCTATTAATGACTACAGGTTTTTTGTTAGTAGTTATTTAGTCTATCGAAGACTTGTTATGTTGAAATACATTCTAAAATTTGCGGTTCCGTTTCGGCTTATTCATATGTTGCTAAATTCTTCCTTTGACCAAAAACGATAAAAAGGAGAATGAACTTATAATTTATCATTTATGATAACAAATACTCTTTCGAAGACATGTCGATATTGTTTTAATATTCGTTAATTGTGACAATACATGTATTTATTACAAATATAATTTTATTTAGAATTCATATCAATATAATATAACTAACCAATATGTTAATAAAGCTAATCTGCAAAAACGAGAAAATTCGTGAGATAAAAGGAGTGTATTTATATATATATATATTTTTATATAAAAAAATGTGGAGGAGAGAGAAATTTGGTTTATTCATAAAGAAGAAAGTAGAAGGGAGTTAGCATGAAAAAGTAGCCAAAGCAATAATTATTTTTTATGATTTTTCTTTTCGTGCCCATTTAGCAGTTGCGGCTTCATTTATACCAGCAATTTTATTAGTAGTATGACTTTCAGCTTCTGCAAAAATCCGACGAATATCTTCTCTCAGGTCTTCTCTTTTCAAAATGATTCGATCTGAAAAGTGGTGGTTTGAATCTCTATTTGTGATAATAGATGTAGTTAAAGGACAGTTTCTAGAAGAATTATATCAAAAAAATTGAGATTACCTATGAGCCGCCTCATCAGCTCTGACAGCCAAAACTACATCACGTAACGTGGCGGTCTCTCTATCGAGATTCCAGTATTCAATAGCAATGTCAGGAACTTCTTTGGTATTTGGGATATTACCGTTATCGATTTCTATAGGATTAAATTACGATGAAATTAACTATCTCTAATTATTCAGAGACAAACCATTTAATACAAACCATTCAAGAAGGCAGTATAACTAATAATCGCATCTTCTTCAAGATAGCCCGCGACACGATGCGCAATTTTTGGAGAAAGTAGATATAAAAGAAAATAGATATTATACCAGCCTCCTTGCACCACCGCAACTAAAAATCGTTCCCAAAGGTTAGGTTGTGAAAATCGCATCCATGTCATTAAATGCATGCTATTTTCAATGAGAAAAAATCAATTAATCGAAGAGAAAAAATAGTTTTCGACTAAATATTTTTTGTTACCGTTCATTTTCTGCTTCATGAAGTAAATGTTCAATCCAACCGCCGTCATGTTGCATCTTTCGAAGAGATCGAAGATGTCTTAAAGTCGCAGCAACCATTCCAGGGACAGCAGCAACCTATAATTATTCAGAGTTTTAATTTTTACTGAGATCCATTCTTTAAACTTTCGTAATTCATAATGCATCTTGTGTTCAGAAAATTACCGTTTCCAACATAACAGCTCGATGCATGTACTTTTTCTTAAAGAACCAGTCGGCTGGAATTCGTAACGATTTAACTATTTGAAATGCAATCTTATCCGCAAGCGTAACCGGCACTCGATGTAAATTTACTTTTATATCAATGCTCTCCAAATCTTTGGTAGTCAATGGAGTTTTCGCATCGATAAATTCATCACGAACCGGTTTAGGATGTGGAATTCGTAATAATGGCGAAGGAATTTCCTTTAAAAGTTCTTCGTGTAATCTCGCTACATCATTTTCATTTTTGAAGTGGTTTTGGTGTTGAATGGTGTTTCCAAGAGTAGTTGCAGTGGACTTTGAGGAATCCGTCGTGGAAATCAATCGAGTCGAGATTGATTTGATGAATATTAATGAAGTAGAAGGTTGTTTAACATATTGCAAACTTGGCGTTAAATCACGCTTTAATACTAAAAAACTAGTACGAGTAGCAGGACGAAACATATTTGTTCTTGTTCTTGATATTTATGATATCAATTTTTACAACTATTGAAATTCTACGAAAATTGCCGTATTTATATAATAATGGGTAATAATGATGAGTCATAACGATAATGGTCGGATTTAGTTTGATTAACCAATTATGTCTATCTGTTCAAATGTTAGAACATTAACCATCACATTCACCGGGTAATTTTAATTTCCGCTGCGCTTTAACGTCACTTCGCGGGTTCAAGCACAAATTTTGACAATATAACTTTGGATATAAAGGGAAAATACCCGAATATTTTCGTCTGTCGTTATAACCAGCGATGTGTATTATGAAAAATTCCTTTTCTGAAAGATCCAGAATATTGTAAAAAATTAATAACGATAAACCTTGTTTCTGCGAAGCAATCTAAAGTTAGAATATTTATCTCAAAAATCCATCAAACTTTCTAGATAACAAATATTTCTTTAATTTAGTGGTCTCATTTGTTATTCTCATATTTGATTTTCTGTTCTTGCATGATCCTTACTAATATACGATTTTTGCAGTATTTCGTATTCTCAATAGAGAATGCATTTATTTACAGATTTATAAATTTGTACATTTTAAATGTAATTTGCATTTTCTAAAGTGATCTATCTCAAAGACGAAATCGAATACTCATGTTTGTAGTAAATGCCGGACTTGTTTAAATGCTCTGTACTAACAGAAAATCAGAGATATAGATATCGACAATTTAATAATAATTGATATGAAATTGTGTTGAAATCATTACACAAAAAGCAAATTACCCCAAAAAGAAGTAAGATTTACTCACTTCTCACCAAAAACCCACAATTGTGGTATACTCTTTAAAGAATAATAACCTTCAATTTTAAAATATTAGATATTTGTTTAAAAATTAATTATTTGTTCAAACTAAAATTATTGGAAGAGTGAAACTTATGCCAGCGAAATCGCGGAACAGTATTGCGGCCACCCTCACGTGACTCGTTTTAAAAAGCTGTTGATATGTAAAACAAATTGCCTTCGCATTTTTTATTACTGCTTCAAGTCAAATTTGCTTATTACGTGTTCGAAGACAACGATCTGATGTCGCCGAAGCAGGATCAAGACGTGATCAATCCCATTTGCGAATCAAGATTTTTTTTGATAATACGAATATTAGTATGGCATGGATGCGAACCACCAGTATGGAAAATAATAAAAAATCATGCTTTCTATTATACGGATTAGCACTATTATCAGTAAAACAATAATATAACATAATGTCCGAACTATATATTCTGGTGTTTTGCTATATAGAATTTCCTTTTAAATAATAATAACTCTTAAAATTATTTTTTAAATGTAAGTATATTTAAATATATAACATGATGCATCACATCATAATTCATCAAATACTATATTATTACTAAAATTTCTTCATGTAATATAATATAGCATAATATTAATATAATAAATAATATTATATGCATTAATATTTATGTAATATCATTATATTATGGCCTGTTGCAAAAAGATTGGTACATTAGATAAATATTAATAGATTATTTTTCAAAATAAAATTTTAATTCTGTCTTATTTAATTAAGTTATTAGGTATTGGGATTTATTTAAATGTAAAAATTTTTATTAATATCTTTTATAAAAAAAATTTTACTAATATAACTTGTTATTTCTTAATTTTACTATATAAAATTTAATTAAAATTAATATAAAAATTATATAGTAAATAATTTAATTACTAAACTTTAAATTTTAATATCTTTATAATTACTGATTCAATTTTTATGAAATTTAGAACATATATTTATCAAATCTAGGGCAATCTGCTTGTGTAATTTAAAATTCTAATCTTGCAAATTGATAGTGATAATATTTAAAATATCTTTTTTTTAAAAAAAATAATTTTATTTTTGTTTTTTTAGTAAAGTAATACATCATTTATTATTAAATTAAAGTATAATAGAATAATTAAAATAGTATAAAAAGTTAATTTAGATCATTCTTTATTTAATATAAAAATATTATAAAGATTAATTAAAATTTGAATAATTTTTATTAGAAGCAATTATTAATTTTATATTAGTATATCAATTTTTTTGCATCAGATCATACTAAATAATTATATATATTATAAGATTCTTATATTACAAAGTTATTATATCATGAAATTACTAATTAACTATATTAATAAGAAATAAAATATATTTTTTTTAACTAATCATGAATATATTTTCTATTTTAATTATTATTTTTCACTTTAAATATTATTGATCTGTAATTAATTAAAATTTTTTTATATATCTATATTAAAATATTAGATATTATATATCTATTATCAAAAAGTATTAGAATATATCAAGATAAAATAAAAAATTAAATTTTAAGTCAAATTATAATAAAAAATACTAAATTTTAAATTAAATTATAGTAAATTATATTTTAATTTTATATAGATAAATAGTAAAATATATTTTTAATAATAATTAATTTATTAAAAAGTTAGAAAAATCAAAGCTAAATATATTTGAGAATCTTATTAAAGATAAATAATATTTAAATATATAAATAATAAAAAAATAAAATGATTTTATACTGATCTTGTCTCATTAATCTTGCAAAATAAGAAAATAACTTTAAAAAAAGTAATTTTAAATATAAATAAAATAATTAATTAATTTTTAAAAATTAAATACTAATAAATTTTTACTTAATAAATTCTTAAATATTAATAAATTCTCTTATCTAATAAACTCTTAAATATTAATAAATTTTTATATAATAAAATATTCAGTTCTAGTAATAATAATAATAATAATAAGTTTATTTTAAAATTTTTTGATACTATACTAAAAAAATTCTAATAATATGTAATTTTATATAATAAATTAGTTTCTTTATTTAATAAAAAATTATAAGATTATTTTATTAATAATTATAAATAAGATAAACATAATATTATTATAATATGAACTTTTAGTAGAATATTAGTTAATTTTATTATTAATTATTTCATATTATAATATAATTAGATAAATAATTACTTATATCTTATTGAACATTAACTTTAGAGAATATTATTTGTAGATATTTTTAGAAGATTTTACAAGTATAATAATCATAGCAAAATTATCATAGCAAAGTTAACAAAATTATCATAGCAAAACTAATAATACTATTATAATAAAATCAATATTATAATACTAGCTAAAGTAA